AGCTCAAATTAAATTAGGAAAGACGTTTTTTTCATGTGCCACACATTTTTGTTGTCAATTATGAATTTATCACCTATTACCTTGTACTCAATTTAATTATAATAGGAAATGTAAAGAGTTTTTCATTGTCATATACATCTTTCGGGAGCATAAATTATATTCGACATTCACAATTAATACAAAAAATTTATGTGATCATAAATTTTTGATAAAACAGTTGATTAATTAAATGTATTTCCCTTTTTTTGAATATAAAGTCTTTCACTCTTTCATTTCTTACATATCACTCATACTCTAACTAACATTATTATTATACTTTGCAAAAAAAATATCGATTATACAACTCATGTTACTTATATTTAGTTATCAATGTGTGGACAACAGAGCCGAACAAAAAACCTAGACGGCGTAACAATCATCCAATGATGCCGAGTTCTACGGTAAAAATTGTATTGTACATAAATGTATCACATACTATATTACATTATGTAATGTTCTTTTTAATATGAATCCATAAAAAAAATAAAAATAAAATTGAAGATTTACTCGTCCTGGCAAATAAATATTGTTGAGATTTACCAGTATTAAATTATAATATTATTTCTTATTTTATTTCCAAAAGTAATTTTTTTATCACTGTCAGTATAAGCACAGATCTTTTTGCTATTGCCATATATTCCCAAGAGATTGTTGCAGCCTGTTGCTAAAAAATTTTTTTGTTGATCAATAAATTGTTATAGTGATGTTATATGATGTCATATGATAGGAATTGGAAAATTATTTTTTAAAAAATAACTAGTTACCGTAATCGTTACTTTTTTAATGTTAAAACAAAATTAATCAAAAAAATTTTGAAATATTTTTGTTTAATATTAATAAAAGCAATAAACAATAATGACACTAAATCGATATGTGAAAACACGAGGGAAATACTTTTTCAATCCAAGCTTGAGCTTCCTACATGATATTTCAGAATGAATTTATACATATCCAGTTTTACAAATTACCAGTTAATTAAATTTTTAATTTTGAAACAATCCGGCTGAAGTAATATTTTTCACAATAAATTTTATAGTACAGAAAATCTGGGTGGGGTAATATTTTTCGCAATAAATTATTTATAGTTTTTTTATTAGCATCAAATCAATAATAGCTTTCTAAGATCCTTATTTGCAGCACTAATATTAAATTGACAACACGAAGAAAAATATTTGATCGAATTTAACTGGAATTTTGATGGAAAATGAACGATCCAGAATTCTGGTTAAGTTTAATAAAATTCTGATTAAATCTATTAGAATTCTAGTAAATTTGATCAAAAAATTCTGAATGTTGGTTATCTCAACTAGATTTCTAGTAGATTTAACCAAAATTCTGGATCGTTCATTTTTCATCAGAATTCCAGTTAATCCAATCAAATATTTTTCTCTGTGAATCAATTTAATTTGTAATATTCCAGCTTCGATTTAGGACTGTTGAATTGTTTCAAGAGTGACAAATAATCATCGCACAGTTAATTTGAACTGGAAATTGTACAAGTCCACAAAAAAATATTTATTCTCTCTAACCATAATTTTTTAACCATGCAATTATAGTTTCATTCATTATTACAAATACCAAATACTTTTCTCTCTGTGTAGTAATATCACTTATTTATTAAACTGATAAGCAATTTAATAATTTGTGATGCTAATAAGCATCTATAAAATTACGGATTATTGGCGTAACTGTTTGATTTCTTATAATGGAAAAAGAATATTATGTTTAGATAATTATGTGCCTAGTGGCATAATTTTTAATGCAATTTCATGCACTCAACGGTAATTCTGTGTACTAAGGATGACCTAATAAAGATTGAAACGTTTATATTTATATTATATCAAAGATCACATTGTACAATTAGAAATAAACAAAGTTTTAATTGTTAGATCCGCGCTGAGAACTTGCGTTGGCTTTTATGCTTTTTATATTATGTATGAGTTAATAATCCTATAGAATTTCTCTTTAATTTATTTAAGATTTATTTTCATTGATCTAAATTGAAAAAAGTAACTTTAAGGGTAATGTTACAAGTCACATTTTATTCCCAATCCTTATTATATAAGATAATAATATATGCGTATATCCTTGTACAAAACATAAATTCTGATTTTAAAAACAGATTCAATAAAAAAAATAATTTACTAATCCTGCAATATAGATTTGTAATTTGTGTAATTTTTTTCTACAATAGGTATTTCTCAAAGTCTCAAAATATTATCCATTAGAACACCACACACATCTATCAATTTTTTATCGACGAACTAAGAAAAAGTTATATACAATATATCTCACAATTTCCAAGCAGCTGGTCAAGAATCATTGAAACATATAAGAAGACATCTGAAGATGTTGATTTTTATCGATGCTTCTCTCGTGTCATAGTCCATTTCTCCGCAACCTAGTATGGTGCAAAAGTTCGGAAATATGAAAACTACGAACAGCGCCGTTGGTCTGGGCAGCCATGAGGGAAAATATACACCAAACAATTCTGTTCCTGACTTGACTCAAAGGTTAATAGTAAATTTTATGTTTAATATGGTTTTACATAATGATACTTTATAATTATACTCTGTTAAACAACAATATTTTATACAAAATAAAACTATGAAATAATTAAGAGAAAACAAAATAAACTTTACCAGGGAACGTCATAACATTCCTCCAATTTTATGCTTTTATTTTTATAAAAGATTTGCCGGCCTATCTGTTAATACTGGAATGAATGATGGCATGTTTTCGAGGACAGCAACACCCATGTATCATGCCGAACTATCATCCGCAATGTCACATACTTATATCAATCAATATGCTGGATCCGAATACCATCTGGATAGGGTCCAGACACCACAGATGCCTTACATGCCTTTCGACGTTGATGGTTATGAAGATTATAATCATTCCATTTATCGTCACAATGCTAGGTATGAGAACGATTTCCGATAGTTTCCTTATTTTTATATATGTCTATTTTTTATACTACGAATTGCTTTAAATTATTGTAGCTTTAAATTGCAATACACATAGGTGATGTTTTTGCACATCCTGTTAAGACTCCTGAGTACTTGCTTTACTCATATTGAATCGTGACGTCATAAGCGAGAAATCACACGTTGATTTTTCTTGCATTTGTAAATAAAGATAATTTGAATAAAACGGAATAATGAGAGATGCTGTAAACGGAATAATGAGAGATGCTGTAAAACACTTTAAATTGGATTATAATAATGTGATTTTTAATATGATTGTTCTAATCATTCTGCATAAAAAAGAATTAAGTCGTTATAAAAGAACTAATAATAAAAATAGTACCACTTAGGTTTTATTGGGGTTAAGTAAATAATAAAAATAGCTTCACTTGGGTTTTATTTTTTAATTTGATATAATAAGGTAATGATGCTCCAGATAATGATTCTTCTATAGATAATGTAAATTAAATGGATAAATTCATAATTGGATAATTTTCTTTATAGATATAAAATGAAAAAATATTAATGTTTGATCAAATTAAAAATTCAATAAAACCTGCTTGATTTTTTCTGCAGTGTCCATTTCTCCGAAGTGTGTTCTGTGAATAATGTACAAATTTTTTTCCATGATTTCAATGGCTGTGCATTCAGCAAAGAAAGCAGCTTTGCAACTATTGTAAAATTCTTCAATATGATTGGTTTATACATTTAGATCTATAAGGAATCAAAAGCAAGAACCAATCGTATTGAACAATTTTACATCATTAATTCAACCCAGGTTGATCCAAACCTGCTCGGGCCGAATACGTTATAAATTTGTAGCATCTCTGTTAAATAATGTTAAAACTGTATCGTTGAAACTGATATAATTTTTTCATTCTATAATTACGAACATAAAAATTATTTAATATAAAAAGATTTAATATGAAAATTATTGCTTATCTTATGTTTGTTGAAAACATAGTGTTTCAAGTTTTGATTTTCGGTTAAAGCTATAGTAGATGCTATTCGGAAAGATCGAGTTCTCGGAGTGAGCAACAGCAGGACGAGTTGCCTTTGCCGCCTGGATGGTCAGTTGATTTCACACTCCGTGGTCGAAAGTACTATATCGATCATAACACTAAGACCACGCATTGGTCACATCCACTCGAAAAAGAGGGTCTACCCACAGGATGGGAGAGAATTGAGTCTCCTGAATATGGCGTTTATTATGTCAAGTGAGTGAACTTTGAAGAGGATTCGATAGGCCATCGATATATATCAGAACGAAAATATCTTGTCTTTCTTTCTCAGCCACATCACGCGCCAAGCTCAGTACGAACATCCGTGTTACCCGCATGAGATGCAAGCTGTACGGGTCGTATCACCACCACGGCATACTCACTTTCACTCTCACAGTGTTTTGGTGCCAGCCAATCCATATCTGAATGAGGAAATACCACACTGGCTGTACGTGTACAGTAGGGCCTCGATAGCTTTAGATCGCAAGCTGCGTTGGGAATTGTTTCGTTTGCCCGAATTGGACTGTTTCAATGCTATGCTCACCAGGCTGTACAAGCAGGAATTGGAGGAAGTTGTAATGCGTTATGAGGAATATAGGTGAGAAATAAGATTCGTCAAAACAATGACGATCTACATTATCTTCAATACATGTACAATCTTATCCTTACATTTTGTATTTTGTATATTTTTGCCTCTAGATCGGCATTACTATGCGAGATGGAACAAAGACTGAAAGAATTGAATCCAGAATCTGGCAATTCTAACGTTGGTGCTATTGCTTTACGAAGATCTCTTCCCTGAGAGAAGTCTACTAAACAATCAATCGTTATATATTGTTTCTCTTTTGATTGATTGAGGAAAAGTTTCCTGGAAGCTTTATAATAAAAAGTTATAATAAAAATGATCAATAACTCTGTATTTTACAAATGTGTATATAGTGTAATACCTAAAAAAAAATTTATCTCTTTTTATAATACATATTATTGTGCAGCACTATACAAGGATGGTTTTTGAAAAATAATAATTATTAATTGTATTACCTAAATTTCGTTAGCAATTGCTTTTTCATTTTTCTCATTTTCTTTTTCTACCTGAGTAATCTCGTTCTGGCATGTACCATCAAAATCATTGGTGAGTGTCAGTCCTGTTACTTGATATACATGCATATTATTAGATGTACCTGTTAAAAGTCCATAAGATATTCCTGCGAAAAATAAATGTTCCGTCATCCTCTCGAACAAAATATCAAAATCAAAAGTCGATAAAAAAAGATTACTTCGTTCTGTAGAGTCTTCTGGGATTTTACGTTTTATAATTGTATAAAACATAACGCCAAACATATTCCATCCCACGATAGCATAAATTATCGCCAGTCTTCGTCTTAAAGGTTCATGTTTATTTTTTAATTTGTTTTTCATGAACCATCGTTCCAACAACTTTTTAAACATTTTTTAGGTTTATGCGCGAGCGTAAAGCCCATACAGGGCCAAAACATATACTAAGGTCTTCTTCTTTTTCTTCTGATTTCCCCTTGATTGTTTTTCGACGGTTTTCCGACTCAAATATAGAGTCACACTACCACGCAGAAAATAATGGGTCAATTTGATCCAATGAATAACCTCCTCGGGGAGTAAAGGTCTCAAATCGAATGTAAATGGAAAATTAAGATTTCTTTAGTTGGGGGGAAATCTCATACTCTGAAGCTGGTTCTACATTGATCGCATCGCAGCGTCGCAAGCGTGTCGCAAGCGTTGCGGTCCAATCAACGACAAGCTAACTCGACTCTGATTGGACCGCAATGTTTGCGATATGCTTACGATGCTGCGATGCGACTAATGTAGAACCAGCTATAGACCTCCTCGTACAATTCGCAACGGCCTTAAGCCTTTCAAAACTCTTCACAACGGCCTTAAGCCTTTTTAACTTTTCTTAATCACCAGATGGAGCCATTCTCGTTCGGCTTCCTAATGCTGGATTCACACTGCATCCGAGTTTCGTCGTACGACACTCTGCATCCAATCAGAAAACAGGATTCCGATAATACGAAGCAAAATTCATCGGAATTCTGTTTTCTG